TTAATTACAATGATTTTTATTTATGCTATGAAATTTTTATATTTCTAGTAAATTAAAATAGAGATATATAAAGTTCAATTACATTATAATTTTTTTTAGAAATTTTTTTTTTAGAATAACACTGTAATTGTATTATTATTATTATTATTATGAAGTATATAGATATTCAAATAATTATTATGTATATAAAAAGAGAAAAGTTTTTTTTTTAAAGATTTTTATCTTTAGCAGTATGTTACAAATCTTATCTCTTTATCTATAGGTAAATAGAGTAACCAATAAGCAATGGGTAATAATGAGTAATAAATGATCTCATCAATTTCTAACTAAATAATAATAATAATAATAATAATAAAATAATCATTTAAGTCTCCAATAAATAGAGATGGAGGGCGACCAAGGAAAAATAAAAAAATAGAGAAAACATGAAGAGAGATTAAGGAAAAAGAGAGAGAAAGAGCACGAAGAAGGAAAGAGAAATTTTTTTTTTACGAAGTCTTAGTTATCTCCAAGCAATTCTACTTTTTTTTTTATTAAGGTAAGAGGATGAAACTTTTATCTCTTTAAATTTTTTTTATATAATTATATTTATTTTATATTTGTCTATATTTAATTAGTGAGATGTCTCTAACTTTATTTTACTTGTTTAATCTATGATATTTTTAATTTTAAATAGCTAATAGGGTATTCTTAATTTATGTTATTTAATTGTTTTATGTTATTTATAACTATCATTTTCTATATTAATATTCTTTAATGCATCTCATTTTTATAAACTATATTATATTAAATTTTAAATAACTAAAAATAGTCTAGTTTATTTAGCTAAATTATTTTTATATTAATTATAACTTTAATCTAGCATCGTTAATTTTTTCTAAGCTCATCTTATTATTATTTCATAATTTCTTATAAAGATAAATGTTAATTTATGACCATAAGAATGAAAGTTTAAATTAATTTGTAGTTTGAGGTTTAACCTTGAAGATTTAAACGAGTAGAGAACTTAAAGGTGAAATATCCTTATGTTATTTGAGATTATGATAAAACTCATTTATCCTAACTAGTCACTACAAGAATAATTCAAATCTTTAATATGATAAAAAGAACTAATATATATATATATATATATATATATATATATATACTTAATACTGGTTAAAAATATTTTTATGTATTTTATTTAATTATTGGTATGTATTGGATAATTGTTCTTACTCTTTATTTTTTATTTTAAAATTAAATTAAATTTATTATAAAATAGATGGATCTACCTGCAATACCAAGTCCTTTTACAGTTGTCATTTCCCCTGTCTTTTTTGGAAGAAATTGGAATGTGGATGTTATTTCCAACTCTATCACGTTTCAAGACGTAAGATTATCTTCATTCATTTTTTTTACCAAAAAAAAAACCCACTATTATTGATGGACCTATTATAGTAACTTTCTTTTTATCACCCGCCAATCATGTTAATTCAATTGTAAATTTATTTTCACTACCAGTGTTCAGTGTAATTATTGTAATAGTTGTGTACAAACAAATAATTTGTAAATAAGTACTTATTATAAATATTTTATAATAGTATGCGATATATATAAATCCAACTATATGTACATTATTTCATGAAAAATTTCTTGTGTCTACCGTAAATATTATTAATTCTATATTTGCATTAGTAAGATATTTTTTGGTATTAAACTTTATAACTAGGCATTAAATTTTAATGATATCACAACGACGTTTCAGGTATGATATTGGGAAATGAACTAATAATCATGTTTCTAATATTAATATTAATATATTAATATTATATGATTGTTTTATAATTAAAAATATAAGAATGCTTGAAAATTAAATTAACAAAATTATTTATGATGAACCTTATAAAATGTTATTAAATAAGTATTTTGTGTTTATAAGAGTTGAAGAGTGAAAACATAAAGTTGATTACGAAAGAGGAATACAAAACTATAAATAAAAAATGATAAAATAATAAATAAATTAAAAACGAAAATATTTATGGTGTGATTGTTTTACAATGAAAAACATGATAATTACTTGAAAAATAAATTAAAATAATTACTTATGATGAACTTTTATCAAATGATTTTAAATAAATATTTTATAAGTTTATTGGAGTTGAATAATTAATGATAATATGAATTTCATTACGGAAAAGAAAATAAAATCGTAAATAAATCATAAATAGTAATTAAAAATTCATTATTGCGAACAATAACTAATAATTAGTATACTACTATACTCAAATAAGTGATAGGACGTTTATTTGCTTTTATTTTATTTTAAATTTTTTCCAATTTATTATTGGATCAAAATGGATGAAAATTACATGAATAAAAAATTTGAGGGACAAACACGAAAACAATTAAAACTTGAGATAAATAAAACGGAAATTACTAAAATTGAGAAGACTAAAAAAAATAATTAATTAAAAAATTAAAGTGAACCTTATTTTTAAGAACACATATATTTAGGTCAAAATTAGAAAGTTTAAACTTTTAAATACAATCAAACACTAATACAAAGTATATATATATATATTTTTATAATAATTACATTAATGACTAGTAAAGAATTTATAAAAATTAAATAAATAACTTCAAAGAAGTGACACAATTAAGCTTAAAATGTAAAAAAAAAAAGATTAAAAGATAAATTGTGAATTTAACTTCCTATAATATTCAACTTGTAATTTTGGTTTCTTAATTTTTAAATATATAATTTAGATTCTTAATTTTATAAAATTTATAATTTTAAACCTATTATTAAATATTTATTCATTAACTATTAAAATTATAATATTAATTCTCACGTGACATTAAATAAATAACATAAAAATTAATATTTGATAATATTATAGTAAATTGAATTCTTATCTTTATTTTTAATTTATATTCATCTACTTTACCATTTTTGTATGATAAAAATGATCATTAAAAATATAATTTAGTTTAAATATTATTAAATATTAAATATCATTTATTTTAAGTCATATCGTTAAAATTAAAATATAAATGTTAAATATTATTAAATATTAAATATTATATTATTTATTTAATATTAATATATAATTAAGATCACAATTTTAATAATAAATAAATATTTTAATGATAATTGTGAATTTTATAAATTTGAGAACAAAATTATAAATTTAAAAAATGAGAAATTAAATATAAATTAAATATTATAGGAGAACAAAAGTGTAATTTAATAAAAAAGCACGACAATCATAAAAAAAAACTTAAAAATAAAATAGAAACAAAAATCGAATAATGTAAAATAGGCTTAAATATATTTTTAGTCTCTCAAATTTAAGATAAATTTATATTTAGTCCCTCAAATTTAAAATTGTTGTTTTTAGTCCCTGTAATTTTCAAAAATCTTATTTTAATCCCTTAGGTCACTAATAACATATTTGAAAGTGACTAATTAAGACAGTTATGCAATATCAACTAGATTAAATGTGATATTTTCATTAATAGAGACACCAATAGATAGATTTTATGCAATAATATTTGATAAATTTCTTAACAAAATTTGAATATAAGGACTAAAATAAGATTTTTTGAAATTACAGGGACTAAAAATAATAATTTTAAATTTGAAGGACCAAAAACAGATTTACCAAAAACAGATTTACCTCAAATTTGAGGTGTAAAAACATATTTAAGCCTGTAAAATATTATACTCACACCCTTTCTACATTACACCATACACCTTACCCCCTCCAAACCCAAATATAAGTGATAAAATAAAATAAAATTCATATAAATTATGAATTTAAACATAAACAAATCTCAATTACTTTTATTTTATTTAATGATATTATCTTTAAAATAATTTTCATTTAATTAGAATTATATTTTCAACACTTTTTTTTAAATATCATATTTTTATAAAAGATAATATAAAAAAGGATAATTTTTTATTGACATTAACAAAATTAAATAATGTTAATTATTTTTCTTAATTAATATCTCTTCCTAAAAAATTATATTAAATTATTTCAATAATTCAAATGATATGGTTCTATCAACGTTCCTTGATTACTGTGGTACGCGTTCGAACTTAAAGATCTCCAAAGAGATTAATTTCTGACATAATCAGATAATATTCATGCATGTGTAACCTAAAAAACCAGATTGACTTAATATTATTTTTTATTACATTTATTTATTTATTTATTTTACATTGTCTGAAAAATACTTAGTGACTTTTTTTGATGAGAGAGTTTTTATGAATTTTTTTTAACTTTTTATTAAATTCAATTTTTTTTATTATAATTATTTATGAATTAAATGTTATACTTTAAATAAATTATTAATAAATAAAAATAATTTCATATCATAATATAAATTATTTATCATAAATTTAAAATATTTTATATATTTAAAAACATTTATTTATTAAAATTTTAAATATAATTTATATATTTAAATATAATATTTATTTATATGCATAATTTACATCATTCATTTTGTTATATCTCTGTTTTATTTTACTTTTTCTTTTCGCTCTTTATTTATTATATTTTCTTATAATTTCTGCAAAAAGTTATACGTTTTATGTCTTACGTCGCTACATGATTTATTGTTGAGCATTTAACTTTTATAAATTCTTTAAGCTGATAAACTAAGGTTTTTACCGAGTAACAAAACCTTAGTATGTAGGCAATAAAATGAGTCGAAAATAAGGCCGTTCATTAATAGCCACAGAAATCATGTAGCTTCATTTGATATATACAAATTTTCTTTTAATGATTTTATTTTAAAGTATTTAAATATTATTTTTATCTCTAAGTTTTCAAATATTAAAAATTAATTAATTTTATAAACTCAAAATCATAAAATTTAAGAATATGAAGTACAATATTAATTAATTTAATAAATATTAATAACTTTTAAATATTTTTATTAAATAATATAGAGACACATGTGCATTAATTATATGAGTGGGTTCCAGTTCCAGATTCCGGTGATTCACGCACGTGCCGCCACTCGTGATTCAGTCTCTCTCTCTCCCTCTCCCTCTCCGTCGAAAATCTTATTCCTGCGTATTATATTCATTTCTTCGCTGTTCCTCACACTCTCCCCAACTAGAGTGAAGCACTCTTTCGCTGTTGCTCCACTCTAGAGAGAGAAACACTTCTTACACTCTCTCTCTCTCTCTCTCTAACATGGCCGACGAACCAATGCCCACGCGCTGGTCTTTCCAGGTTTTCTACTTCCCCTCGCCTCTCTCTTTCCATTCTAAATTACAATTGCGAATCTCGATTTCTTTGTTTTCCGTTTTCACGCGATGATTCTCCGCTCCGCATTTCGCCGATCCTCGGAGAGCCAATTGTTACGGTACCTTGAATCGTCGTGCATAGGTGGAAGAAAGGAGGATCCTCTATTTATTTATTTATTATTTTTTCTTATTCAGTTTTCTCGTCATGCAATTAGCGCTGTTCTAGTTTATTGGATCGGTTTTCTTTTGTTTTCACACTAGCTTGTAGGATTTTATGGAACTCTTGCTTTTGTGTTTGGTTTTGTTGATTTTGTGGTGGACTGAGTTTTACTTTCGGTGCCGAGAATTTGATATGCATTGTATGGATCTGCAGGACTTTAAAGTGTATTATGATGCCAAGTTTGGTAGGAAGAAGGCCTTGGAGAATGGCGAGACTGGTGATAAAGCGGTCAGTAATGGAACTTCGTTATCCAATGGCAATCTGCATGCCAAGAGACCATCGGAAATGGCTGTTTATGAGCAGTTTCAAAGCGAGGTACTGTGTTTTCAGACTTCCTAGTTTCTTGGTGAACTGGTCATTACTCCTTGGAATTTTGCTGATTTTTGGATTTGATGGTGTTTCAGGGGCAGAATCAGACTCACACAAATGGTTTTTCGCCGGCCAATATGGATGAAAAGCCGTATGATTCTTTGAGTTATCCATTTGTATTCTTGGACTTTGTAGTTGGCACTTATTTGAAAGTGTTAAGTGTTTGTGTTTTTCTGTGAGAGTCAATTAGACAAAAACAGAGAAGGAACAGTATTAGCACTCTTGAGTTGTGGATTAAGTTTTGATTGGATATCTAATAGCTAGTCAACCAATTATCAAAGCTCTCAGTTTCAGTACTTGAGACTATTTGATTGACTGTGTTTGAAATTTATTAGGTAGGTGATGACTGATAGTTTTGTACTGATATCTTAGAATAGGTGGAAGATAGAAAATTTATTCATTCTTGCTTCTCAGATGATTACCCCTAACTTTTTCAGGCAGAAGTCTTTGCTTCCACCTTTTGAATCTGCAGATATGCGAACTTTAGCAGAGAGCTTAAGTAGGTAAATTTTCTCTCTCAATCCAACACCTTTGATACAAGTGATGACTACATGGAGAAGTTACTTGTGTGTTGGTCATTTGATTCTATTTTGTAAGTTTTATTTTCATGTTTGTCATTCACTTCTTATTGGGTCAGGGATATCATTCGTGGAAGTCCAGATGTGAAGTGGGAAAGCATCAAGGGGTTAGAGAATGCTAAACGGTTACTGAAAGAGGCTGTTGTAATGCCAATTAAGTATCCCAAGTAGGTATCACTGTTGAAAACTTTCTACACCTAATATTCCTTAGAGCTATTGATAACCATTTTGTTGCACTGTAGTAAAAATATTCTTGTGTATGTTACTATTACTAATGAGATTTTTTTATTGGTTGTTGTTGATAATTTACATTGATCAGTTAACAAACTAGTGTTTTTAATTTAAGATGAAAGCAGGAAT